ATTATATAAATTAATACTTTTATTTAGCAAGGATGCTTAAAATTTATCAAAAGTGATGATAAAGGCATTTATAATGTTACAAAATATTTCTATTTCAGATAAATAGTGTTCATATCGATATCGGAATTATATCGTATCGACCGAAATTAAGAAATATATTGTGATATAAATTTTGGCCATATCGTCCAGCCCTACCAGGACACTTCTTATATTATATAATAATGATCGTCACCCACCTTCATCAACAACAAACTGACAGTGTTTGTCATTGTAGAAAAGAACCTTCTTCTTATCTGGCCTGGTCACAAATATAATCTGATCCCCAAGTGCCTGAACAAAATAAACAAAACAAAATTAAGTATTTCAAATCTTGAAAAAGCTAATTAGCTTCTTTCTTACTGAGAACTACACATTAAATACAGAAAATCCGCTGGCAGATGAATTACATGTAAAGAAATATTATATGCAAATTAGGTGCTAAAAAAAAGACTATCTGAAAATCTTAATTTTTTTTTTTTTAAATAAATAAAAACACAGTACATCTGTTTAATGATGCCTCAAAACATTCTGAAGTTTCTGTGTACCCGATGCTTTAAATGTACTGTCTAGAAAATGCTCCGCCTGTTTAAAAATAAAAATTTTGAAAAAGAAAAAAGTACGCTAGCATGTTACCTTAATAGCCTTGGCTGCGTTGGGTAGACCCTCTTCAACATCGTCTAGTAACACTCCTCCTAGTCCCAGCTGATCGTGTTTGTCCAGTAGTCTTAGCAGAGCTTTCTTATCCTTCAGATGATACTTGGGTTTAAAGGCATATTTCCCTTCCCGCACATCAATCTTAGGATTACTTGCTAATGCCTGGAGGGAGGGAGAAAGATTTAGATTTCCTTTTTTGTTTTTGTTTTTTTGAATGTGTCTCTTGCCCTTTAAAAGGTGTATTATGTGTTAGTGCATGGCTCCCAGGAACATATGATTTTGATTGGTCATTCTGTGGTCAAAACACATTGTAATATGTGAATTAGATTAACACATGGCCCCGGAACCATATGTAAATCCAAAAAGAAAGCATATTTTTACAAATTCTGCAATCAGTGGAAGTCCAGCTGCTACTACAGACAGCATGCATTACCATACCACTCCACGCAGAAGACATGTTTTCTCTGCAAAAACAACTAAAACCAAAGAACAAAACAAAAACAAAAAAGAATAAGACAAACAAAACCAAGCAATTAACAAAAATAATAATGATAACTTAAAAAAACACAAGAAAACAAAACAAGAAAAAACTAAAGTAAATGCAGATATAACACCAATTTAGGGGCCATTCACATGGGATGTGCTCTTGTTTTCGGCCTCGATTTTATTTTTTATTTTAGATATCAGACACATTGACAGCTTTCCTCTCTTACAGATATCTGTGGTCTTCAGGACAGTGGTGCGATATGCTATACTTATGTTCAATGATATGGAAATAAAACAATATATTGACCTGTCTATTTAATGCTTGACTTATCTGTAACAGTGATGTCACTGAAGTATCTTTATTTGCTGTTATTATTTTATTTTATTATTTTAAAATAACTAATTTATTTATTTGCCTTTTCTCAGTAAAAAATTATATATGTAACTAAATGTGATTAAATAGCATATCAACAATAGTGTTCAATAGTGCTAAACATGGAATCCTATGTAATTCATGTGCGAGTTAAGGGGTATATTATAGTGTATTGGTGGATGTGATGATCTATGTTGTATATACATGGAAATTGTCCAGTATTTAAATGGTAACGTGTATTTTAAGGAATTGAAAAATGGTTAATGAATCATGACGTCAAGTAAATTAACAATTTAAAAAGTGGGTGGAGGCGAAACGTTTGTGATTTTTCCCTATTGGTGATAAATGTATAATAAAATGTAAAAAGAAGACTGGTTTTGCAAGTGCGGATCATGGTTTCATATAATTAGCATATCATGTAATCATTTTAATCTCTAAAATTTTTAACTGATTAACATCCCTAATATTGTATAAAACGGCTGAACTTCTAATTGACTATTTTCTCATTTCTCATATAGAATTCTGCAGTCTTTTTCTTCCAACATAACAAAATAAACCCCGACAGGGTGTTCAGAGGACATGTATTTGACTTTTACTTGATTGTTGTGAATTAGGCAGAATATTTTTTTGTGAGATGTTCTCATGTGCCTATAAATACAAAAAAATCCACACAATTATTAGTGAATGAGACCAAATGTCTTTCTCTAATGCCCACTCACACACACCTCGCTCATAAGCCACTGTTTCTGCTTCATGCCAATGTCCAGCAGCTTGGTCTCATCCAGAATTTCATCCAGAGTCAGATGATGAGTATCACCTCTCTGGTGCCTCGTCTGAAAAAGAGATGAGATGTAAAAAGGGAGTTTAAATGCATCACAGCTACATCTACATCTGTGGATTACAGCCTGACAGCCTTTAATTACTGGCATGTCACTTTGGGGAACTGCCAAGACTGACAAAAAACAAAAAGAAAAAAAAAAAAAATGACAAAATGCTTGTGATAATATGAAACAACTGTAACATGATGACTCTGACAATGCATTAGTCACAGGGCAAAATTTTTACAGTGTTTATTCAGGTCAGGTGGAGAAACTGTTGTTAGGGGAGTCAGCAAAAACTGTTTCAGTCCCTTTTGTCTGTTTTTTTCAAGCACACAACATAAAAACCTTCACAAACGATCAGAATAAATCCTCATTTTAGATCACAAAATTGGTACAAATATAAGACTGGCAATAGATGTGCTGAGATTAGAAGCCATTTTCCAGGGAGCATGTGTTTAATGACAGTGAGGATTGCTCAAGCTCATGATAATTTCATTCCCATGGGTCATCCTGTTCAGTCTGTGTGCTCTAATGTGAGATAGGAAATGTAGAAATGAAGCAAGAAAAGTGACAATTGACAGACACTGCAGCAAATGCTTGCTTGTTGAACAGACCACTGAACTGTGGAAATGTGTGTATTTTCGTATTACCTTCATGTAGTTAACAATTCGGGCCAAAACTCCAAATTTGTATCCTGAACTCCCAGAAAGTGCTTTGAGATTGAAGGAGCCATTGCTGGGATCTGAACGATGAAAAGAGAACAAGAGAAGAAGAGATAAGAGACTATAATAAGTAAGTGCTGCAAATAATAGGCTATTAATGCAATAACTACTATAATCCTTTCAAACAACAATGAAAGTAATAACACACATGCTGTTTTCTAACTCAAAGTTAGTTTCTGGCAGTTATATTCCACACCATTTACAATTCTTTCTGCTGTCAGCAGACACTTTCTTACTAAAAACACCAAAAACCAAAAGTGAAATGAAAAAGCAAAACAAAACGGCAAAAAAAAAAAAGTATATTCTGACAAAGTGCAAAGAGAAAAAGCACTCTGGCCATTCAGATCCCTTAATTCATTGGTTTGATGTAATCTATTTGACAACACTTCCTCTAATGCAAAGAAAAACCTCTGACAAAAACAGATTTCATCCGCATGATATCAAAATCTTCTGTATAAATAATACATGTATAAAATAATAGTGTGATGTAGGAAAATATATAGCAGTATAACAACAATAACAGAGCTGTACTGTTTATTAATAATAGTGAAACGGTTTAAATAATTTTTTTCTAGCTAAGCACAGTATAAATATTAAACATTCATTTCAGAAACTGTTATCACTTCATATCACTTGTTTGTTATTGATATAGATGTTATATCTTCTTTGAGATCAGAGAAAACATGATATCAACAGCTGCACGCTACGTGGAATGTTAGTTATTTATGCATTCTTAAGCATAAGCTGCTGTAAATTGTTCACATATTTTGCATTGGGTACATTTTTTGAGCAATACCATGCTTATTTGATGCTCATAAGTGTTATATTTTATGCTTAAATACTGAAATGATTATATATGTTTGTATTTGAGGATCTATGTTTCATGTGAGCGGTCTGTCACGGAAATTTCTCTCAAGGATTAAAAAAAGCAAAAAACACACACGCATATATAAATGGGTCTTTGACGTATAATAATTTTCGACAGGCAAATTTTTAAATACAAAAAAAAAAAGTAATATATTTTGTAGTTATTCAAACATTAAGAATGTTGTGTACACATAAATTCATATTAAAATTTTCAATTAAGTGATTTTAGTGTTTTTTCATCTAGATGAATCGGCTGTAGCCTTAAAAAATGTCATGTGGTGCGACCATGATTTATATTAAAATTAATTAATTTTCTTAACATGCTTAACATTTTTATTTAGATGCTCTCAGTAATTAAAATGTTTAGTAAAGTATTTGCATTTCTTTTGAGTTTTTGTAAATCATGATCTAATTTTTGTTCTATAATTTCAAAGTTGCCTTCTTAAATGTAGTTAGCAGACTTATTTTTCTGTAAATTGCATAAAACTGATAAAAATGTTTTTGAAATATCATTCACTTAAGCATACTGTTGCAGTGATTCATATTTTAGCCACATAAATTAGATAATTTATTTTTAATTTAATACAGTTATTGCTATTATTGGTCGCACCACATGATGAATGGTCGCTCCAAATGACACAAAGACATTATATAATTAAAAATCTATTTATTAAAGAAACGTGTGAAAAGTGCAGCACATGGCATTAACAGCAGTAATTTTTTTAGACCCAGTTATTTCTAAACTTTGCCCAATCTTGGCTGCTCAATTGACCCTTCGCCGGGAGTTTGATTAACAGGCAATCTGACCAATCATAATGCCAAATCCACCATTTCTGTCCAACAAACAAACCAGACAGAAGAGTAGATTAACATTGGTGGACTTGAACTTCAAAAATAGTGTATTGACATCTTTTCACAGTTGAAACTAAATATCTTCTGATGTTCATTCAGGTTTATTTTGTGCTATAACTAGTAAGAGATGATCGGTTCACATGCCGCTTGAACTGAGGTGCTACAGCAATCTGTCATGACACATACATAAAAGAGCCACAAAACAGTATTTGTTGTTTAAATTTCCTATTAAAAAAAAAGACAAATTTTGAACTCTAAGACTATCCCCCGGTTTCACAGACAAGGCTTAAGCCTAATTCCAGACTAAAATCTAAGTCTGAGCTGTTTCAACTGAAAGAAACTTGCTCTGACTGATCTTAAAATATATCAGTGCCTTTATTTTGTCTCAATGCACGTCAGTATTTTTTTCTAAGGCACCTTTATAAAAATAACTTTTAAATGTCCTAATTGAACTATGGCTTAATCCTGGCTTAGTCTAAGCCCTGTCTGTGAAACCAGGCCTTTGTTTAATAACCTGCTCTGTCTTGTATGTCTGCACATTGTCAGTGTCTTCTTTGCTCCGTGATGCATTTTCACTGCATGAGAACATGATGTGTTGCATAAAAGTGCCATGCCATTGTGCTTGACTGCAGGGTCAGAATAAACATGCTGCCTATGGCGAGCGTTTATTTTACTTTCCTAAAATAGTTAGTAATAAATATATAATAAATTACGAATAAATGCATAATTACCAAACTAAAATTGCATGCTCAATTTTTTTTTTTTTGCATTTTTCTCATATTGTACAAAGATTAAACATAAACAGTCTTAAATTACCCAAATTGCATAAAAATCTATTCCAAATGATTTTATGTATATAAACCATTAATTGAATATAAAAGCTCAAAGAAACTGCCAATCTGGGACATATATCTATAATGGAAAACACTCTGCAGTGGTCGCACCACATGATATTTGGTCGCACCACATGATATTTTCAAATTTAGTCAATTTACAAGCACAGAACTAGCCACCTAAACAAAACAAGCTAGCTTCCCATGAAAGGTCACTATGAAATTTATAATAAAAATAAATACTTGTAGAAATAACTTAATATTCATTGTTTTTCTGAGGTCATACCACATGATATCCAAAATTTGGTAACTACATACCAGCCATATAAAAGGTTATTTTTTTCCAAATTTGAAAGATAGTTGCAAACCTGCTTGATGCTTCTATGGGTCCTTGGCAAATTGGTATATGATGCAACGTCCTATCTTTGAATGGATTTCAACATAAAAGTCCCAAAATGGTAGTTTCTTTATGGTCGCACCACATGATATTTCATAAAATGGAGATTACCGGACAAAGTTTGTTTGAATGGTATAATGGAAATATAAATGCACATTTTTCGCAATTTTATACAGGATTACAAGACCCTTTGGAGTCAAGCCAAATAGTGAAGAAAATTTATCTGAATAAATTTAGGGTAATTTCAAAGATGTTTCATAAAATGGAGATTATCGGACAAAGTTTGTTTGAATGTTATGATGGAAAAATAAATGCAAATTCTTCGCAATTTTATACAGGATTACAAAACCCTTTGAAGTCAAGCCAAATAGTGCAGAAAATTAATCTGAATAAATTTAGGGTAATTTCAAAGATGTTTCCAAAACAACAGTTATGGCTGGACGGTCACACCACATGATGTTTTGACACTTTGAATAACAGAAAAATTACAAATAACTAATGTTTTTTGAAAAGTTAAAGTTGGTACATATGTGGGAGATACTTCTATTAACGACATTAATTAACTGTCTATCTAACTGAAAAAATGCAATCGGACAGAAAATTTAGGCATCACATCATTTACCCATATACAGTGCTGCTTGAAAGTTTGTGAACCCTTTAGAATTGTCTATATTTCTGCATAAATATAACCCAAAAAAATCATCAGATTTGCATGCAAGTCCTGAAAGTTGACAAAGAGAACCCAATCAAACAAATGAAAATATATACTTTGTCATTTATTTATTCAGGAAAATTATCCAATATTACATATCTGTGAGCGGCAGAAGTATGTGAATCTCTAGGATTAGCTGTTAATTTGAAGGTGAAATTAGAGTCCATCTGCTCAGAGGTGTTTTTACTCAGTGAGATTACTATCAGGTGTCAGTGTGTGCCCCGTTTTATTTAAAGAACAAGGATCTGTCAAAGTTTGGTCTTGTACTTTGTGGAAGTGTATCATGGCACAAACAAATGAGATCTCTGAGGACCTCAGAAAAAGAGTTGGTGTTGCTCATCAGGCTAGAAAAGGTTTCAAAGCCATCTCTAAAGAGTTTGGACTCCACCAATCCACGGTCAGACAGATTGTGTACAAATGGAGGAAATTCAAGACCACTGTTACCCTCCCCAGGAGTGGTCCACCAACAAGCAACGCTCTAATAGCAAGACGTTAAAAAGTCCACTAGGTTAAAGGACTGCAGGCTAAATTCTAAGCAACTAATGACCTTTCTCACATTGGCTTATGTTAATGTTTATGAGCCCATCATCAGAAGAACACTGAACAACCATGTCCTGAACAACAGTCCATGGCAGAGTCACAAGAAGAAAGCCACTGCTCTCCAAAAAGAACATTGTTGCCCATCTGCAGTTTGCTAAAGATCATGTGGACAAGCCAGCGGAATACTGGAGAAATGTTTTGTGGATGGATGAGACCAAAATAGAACATTTTGTTTTAAATGAGAAGCGTTATGTTTGGAGAAGAAAACACTGCATTTCAGCATAAGAACCTTATCCCATCTGTGAAACATGGTGGTGGTAGTATCATGGTTTGGGCCTGTTTTGCAGCATCTGGTCCAGGATGGCTTGCCATCATTAATGGAACAATGAATTCTGAAGGAAAATGTCAGGACATCTGCCCAAGAACTGAATCTCAAGAGAAAATGGGTCACGCAGCAAGACAACGACCCCAAGCACACGTCATTCTACCAAAAAATGGTTAAAGAAGAACAAAGTTAATGTTTTGGAATGACCGAGTCAAATTCCGGACCTTAATCCAATTGAAATTTTGTGGTAGGACCTGAAACAAGCAGTTCATAGGAGGAAACCCACCAACATCATAGAGTTGAAGTGGTTCTGTACTGAGGAATGGGCTAAAATTCCTACAAGCCGTTGTGCAGGACTGATCAGCAGTTACAAGAAATGTTACTTGCAGTTATTGCTGCAAAACGGGGTCACACCAGATACTGAAATCAAAGATTCACATACTTTTGCCCCTTAAAAAGGCGGTTTATGCTCGAAAACCCTCCAATGTGGCTGA